TGTCAGTTGCTTGTCCATCTTCCTTTCTGCATCCCTAGGCTCCACAGAAACAGCCTGCTCTGCTGCCCAGTGATAGCTGTAGTGTATCGCCAACCTGAGTTACGAGTTTTACTACTGAAAGCTCACTCGTGTACTACATTGTACATTTCTGACACAAGTAAACACGTGGCTAGAGTTAGACTTTGTAATATGCTGAATAGCACGTCTTTATATTTCCAGAGAGTCATGCCTTCCAGCTTTTTTGTGCTGTTGAGGTTTTTCTTGCGAGTTGATGGAGTGCTGATCAGGATGAACGACACGAGGCTTCACCATGAGGTAAGCCCTCATTCACCATTATGACTGTTTTACAGGTGCTCACTTGCAGTATTGCTTTCAGAGAAGAACTGCTGATATTCCTGTACTTCAGTACTGATGCTGTGGGGCATAGAGGTTACCCAAACTGAACTTTCAGATTAATTTTGTTTTGGTGGTGCTGAAGTGTAGCAGCCAAGTGCTAGGTGTTATCAGAGCAGAGTAGCCTATAGCTTATGCTAAATAATGATTAAAATATATGTGTCAGGCACAGAGAGGCAGTACAAGTTAAAAAATAGACAACAGTAGGTGGTGTGATGTTGTTGTTATGGGGTTGGGTGGGTGTTTTTGATTTTGGCTTGTCTAATATTATGACTGCAAGTTTAACCTTGCAGAGAACTACCTATGCTATGCTGAGGTGAAATATCCCATAAATAAGACAGAACATAGCAGGTTTGCTTATTTTGTCCAGCTGATAATGAAGTGATGCAGGAGTTCTGAGAGAAGGCTGACAAACGCATTCAGTCATAGATATTCAAGTTGTTGCATGCAAAAAGGTGACTCTTGGAGAAGATGCCATTCTTTGTCTTTGGGAGTGTGAATGTACGTTTCTGCTGAAGGGCTGTGATCAGTCACATTCAAATGTTTCCTGAATTCAGTGTTTTCACAATGCTGATTTGCACTCTGATAATTTTGTAATGAATTTTTGTAATTCTTTTCCCTTCAGTCTGACAAGGCTTATATGTTGCGAGAATATACATCGAGAGAAAGCAAAATATCGAGTTTAAAGGTATTACATTTTTCATGTTTTCCTGGTCTGCTTTTTAGCATTCTTTTATGGTCCACACAGAAAACACTGTCAGTAATGCTTTGGAAAGGTTGGTAACTTAAGCAGGGGGAAGATCCTTTCGTGTGTGCAGTTTTTATCTTAGGGATTTCAAGGCAGGTTGGCCTTTGTAGATGACTCAGTGGTCACATTTACAATATATGGGTTTGGGTTACTTTTTCTACTTTTCAGTTAACAGCTGTTTTCGTTATTATTTTAGAACTATTCAGTCACAAAATCGGGTAGCGCACTTCCCGTGATGCTGAATTTCAACACTGGCTGTGTGCTCACGACCTGTACTAGAACTCAGAATCTGTTTGCTGCTGCAGATTCATTTGTTTTTTGTCAGAATAATTTCTACAGCTTACCTTAAAACCCAAGCAGTAGCTCAGAATCGTTTGTGGTACATTTCCAGTTGTAGTGTTGACTTATTATTCTTTACCCAATGTATGATTTTTAGGTACTCTCCCTTTTCTCTTCACCTGTAAAATGTAACTAATGTTATACTAATGTTTTGAGGGAATACTTCTGCACGATTATTTTCTCCTTATCATTTTTCAGCAATATGCAATCCCTAATTGAGGCAATTAAATCAGGCGTGATCTTTTTGATAGTTTGGTGGCTTCTGAAATACGGGTAGTTGATCCAGGTTTGGTTTTAACCTCGAACTTCATATTGCTTTTGTGTTCCTTAGATCAGCTTCAGTAGGTAAAGGAGAAAAGAATTCTCAAGTCTGAATGAATTGAAGTTGCAGTGTAATTCCTTGCATGTTAGGGGTATCTGACAGGTTGTACTTAAATAGCTCTACACTTCTTGCTTACAGGATGTTGTTAGAAAGTAGTGCACTCAGTGTAGGTTGTGGTTGTTTTCTTTTGTCCTGACAAATGTCTGTGTGTGAAGCTGCAGGGAAAGATGTTAATGAACTTAGAACAACTAATTTCTTCAAACGCAAAATTAAAATCCACTCAGTTACTGTGCCATATAAATAGCTAAATGCTGCAGTGGACTTCTTCAAACTAAGACTGATGTTGAGATATCAATATCAATTATCATTTGCTCCAGGGAGTGTATAGCAATGGCCAGAAGACATTAAACATGAAATCCTTTGTGGCCGTCCTGGTCTCATCCAAAATTAGACTCTCAAAGAGACAGTGTGCAGCAGTGAAGTCATGAACATTGTAGATGTTCTGGAACGTCTCTGACTTGTGTGTGAAGATAAAATCTGCTGCTTAGAAATATGAAATACTTTTCCCTAACCTACTGATGGCACTCAAGAAGTAAGAGATTGTGTGTGTTATATCTGAAGTAATAATCTAAATTTCTCTGTGCCGTGTGACTTCGAGGTGTTTAAATCAGGTAAAGATCAGCTGTCCGTAAGTATTTGTTTTTTGGAATCTTTTTCCTTCCTTTTTGTTCATTTCATCTAAACTTTTTGCTCCTTAGCATGTGCCACCTTCCCTGTTCACGGAACCTAACGAGATCTCTCAGTATCTACCCATAAAGGAGACAATATGTGAAAAACTAGAATTCCCAGGGACGCTGGAATCTAATAATCCAGAGGCATCACTGGAAACCACGTGTGTTAAGTCAAAATAAATGTGACTTTATATGGACTGAATTAGACTGGAGACGGTGTGATCATGTAGGCATTACTGGGGGGAGGCAGTTTCACTACTAGTGGAATAAAGAATTTGGCTATTTTTTCTGTAGCCCTGAAAAAAAAAAAAAAACAGAACTCATTTCAAGAAGGTTTTGCTAATGTTTGTTCTATCTTGTTTTTTTTGTTTCTTTTAAACCTGTATCTGGAGTTAATGATAGAGCAGTGGTAAATCAGTCTTCAATGGTACTGGACATGGACTTTCACAATGGAAGAGTGTGGGTTCTGCTCATTTCACCAGTGAGGCAGGCCTATTGCCTGGGCCCTCCAACGCAAACGCTTCCATGACAGATTCTGTTAGTCTCGGTATCTGAAGCAGCAATAGTAGTCATAAAATTGGCATAATTTTATTTCTATGAGGTAATCATCTACAGTAAAAATTGATAAACAAAATTCCTCTGCATATGTTTTAAGCTTTCAGTCCTAAGAGATAGATTTTTTTTTTTTTTTTTTTTTTTTTTGCTTGGCTTCTACTTCAAGCTGATAATCCATCGAGTTACTTCTTGGCTGGGGAAAAAGGACATCGATTGTCTTCAATCCCTCCAAGATGCTGGTATTTGCAGTCCGAGAAAGAGGAGCTTATGTAGCTTCAAAAGGATGCTAGCATGTATTCCAGATGCATATTTTTGGTTTATTTAAAATCTCTAAGTTCTGATATCAATAGGAGTGTGATCACATGTGCAGTCACTATTCTAACTTCGCATTTTGTGGATTAAACTTTAAGTAATTCTGTTGCTTTTGGAAACCTTAAATTACATCAATGGTTTGGTCTAAGACTGGGGGAGTTAAACAGCCTTGTCTAAGTTTGCTGCTTACACTCAGTGAAGGGCAGGAAGCTGAGGACTGTAGCAAAAAGCAGGCCTTTTGATTTGACAGGGTCTGATAAGAATGTGTACATTCTGATGTCCTGGACTGTTTTAATTAAAAATCTTCATATTCTACACTGCCTGTCTTCAAACAAGTTTTGGGGGTGGGTTGTTTCAATTAATGATGTCTTTTGAGAAACAGTTTTCATTTAAGACAATGCTGATGTTTTTATTTAAAAAAGAAAAAAAAGAAAAAGAAAAGAAAAAAGTGCTCTACTATTTAAGTGACTGCACTTGTTTCCTAAAGGCTGTAGTGTCAGGACAAAGCATTTATCTGGCTGTAAATGAATGCAGAGTGGAAGCGATCCGTATTTGTCTGGACATAGAATATTATTGAGGTCCCCTCCAGTGGTAGAGGGATGTGAGCGGAGAATGAAAAGGAAGGGAACAACAGAGTGAAGAGAGTTTGTTGGTAGGAGCATATCGGGGCACTTTTCCTATAAGGATTTATTATTTTATGTGCCTTACTGGCTTATAAAAGCGCAGTCTAAAGCCAAAGCTGGCAGTGATTGAGAGGACAGCTGATGTGCCAACACAAAGGAAACTGTATCTGCATTGAGTAATGAAAATTACAGTTTGGGTTTACGCAGTGATGCAATATGAAGCTCCACTGAGCTCAGGTCTAGTTGGGGGGGACCTATGGAACTGACAGCTGATGTTGAGAAGGGTGCTCTGCATGTGTAGTTGATGTGTATTTACCTCCTCCGTAGTATTTACTAATCTGTGACCTATTGATGCAGTTGTCTTGAATGGACTTGAATCCTGAGTATATATCTCTGATAGCCATCTGTTTTGGGTGCTGTGCATTTAAATGGAACACAAACATTGGAGAAATCACAAGGACGCATTTAGAAAGTCAGTTACCACGAAGTAGAACACGGAGCACCACTCCGGCCTCTGTTATGCCGCACAGACGATCAAGAAGCAGCGAGGGAAACTCTGGTACAGCTTCACCAGAGGAAGGTACTGCTGTGGATACGTGATGCTGGGAGGAGGCGCGGGGTGATTCTCCAGCCGTTCTGAAGCGAGCCGAACGTACGGCAGTTTATATTCCCACTTGTATGTTAATAAATAAAATATACCTGACGTTTCACGGCTCTGTTCTCGACTGAGCAAAACAAACTGAAGTAACGGCACGCGCTGCTGCGCCCGGTGCAGGAAGGGCACCCGCACAGCGGGAGGCTCCCCCATTTCCCGGCCCGTCCGCGCGGCGCCCCTCGCCTCCCTCAGCGGCTTTCAGAAGCCGGACGGGGGATGGGCCGTCCCGCCCCTCCGACTACGCGCCCCGGCAGGCTCCGCGCCGCCGCGCCTACCTGCGCCCGGCAGGTACGGAAGGGCTAGCGGCCGCGCAGGGCCTGCCGGGGCGCGTAGTTCCCGGGGCGGAAGGGAAGAACCGCCCGGCCGCGGCATGGACAAGCTGAAGCGGGTGCTGAGCGGCCGGGACGCGGAGGAGCCCGGCGCTCTGACGGAGGTAACGCCCCGCTGCCGGCACCTGCCGCCCTGCTGGGGCCGCCGCCTCGGGGAAGCCGCCGGGCCGCTCGTCGGCCTCTGTGCCGCCGGGCCTCTGCTGCCAGCCGGCGTCGCTTCGAGCTGCGGCCCCCGGGAAGCTCAGCCACTCGGGGTTGTGTTGGTAACTAACGGCGGTAACGCGCGCGTTCTGCACCCTCGTTTCCAGGTTATCGACGCGACTTCGTTGGGTTGGGGCACCCGAGTGAAAGGCTTCATCGCGTGCTTTGCGTTGGGATGCGTGTTCTCCCTGTTGGTAAGCGCTGATTGTTCCGAGCTGGGGAGGGCCCGCGAGGATCTGTATCCTGGCTGAGGTTTCTGGGTCTCTGAGAGCACCAGGCTCGGTTCCAGTTAGATACAGCACGCTAATCATTAACAAGAACGCTAACGCATGCACTTTTCTCTTTCTCTTCTCCTTTTTAGGGCAGTTGTCTGCTCTGGGTACCAAGGAAAGGGCTGATTCTCTTTGCAGCATTTTACACGTTGGGGAACATTGCATCGATTGGAAGGTAATGATCTTTTATGTTAGTTCTCTAATAACGGTGACAAGCTGGACGAGGTGTGGAAGTAGTAAAAACCAACCTGTTTGCGTGTGCACATTTGTTTATGGAGATTCAGAGAATCACAGAATGGCCTGGGTTGAAAAGGACCACAATGATCATCTGGTTTCAACCCCCTGCTATGTGCAGAGTCGCCAACCAGCAGCCCAGGCTGCCCAGAGCCACATCCAGCCTGGCCTTGAATGCCTCCAGGGATGGGGCATCCACAGCCTCCTTGGGCAACCTGTTCAGTGCGTCACCACCTCTGTGAGTGATTGTTCTCTTTTCGCTAAAAAGAACAGCACCTCCCTAATAGCACCGTGAAAGAAAGTACTGTGAAGACATTTTTTACTCATCCATTACAAAAACAACAAAACACAACACCAAAGGCTCAAAATCATGCATTGAGCATTGCAGTTTTTAGTTTTTGGAGGTGTGTTTTTTACCCCTCAGGATAATGATACTTCTTTGCCATTTTGCCTTTGATAACAGCACCATGTGTTTGTGAGCTCTGTCTTAGCAAACACCTCTGTGTTACAGTGGGACTGTCTGATAATCTTTCCTGCTTGTTGTAAAGGTTCTTTTCTCCCCTTTCTTTTGTCGTGCACTGATTTCTGTAACAACATTGTGTGCTGGTATCCCATGTGACAAGAGAAAAGTTTACAAAATAACCACCCTTCATCACAAATCTGGCTTGGTTTCACTTTTGCCTTTCACACCTTATGTGTTCATCTTGTTTTGTTTTTCTGTTTCACAGCACTCTCTTTCTTATGGGACCAGTGAAACAATTGAAAAGGATGTTTGAGCCTACCCGATTGATTGCTACTATTGTTATGTTAGTAAGTATCAAAGGAATCAGTTTTAACTTACAGAATCACCAATGCTGGACAAGACCTCTAAAATCATGCAGTCCAACCATCCATCTACCACCAGTATTTCCCCACTAAACCACATCCCTTAATACAACCTCTAAATGTTTCTTGAGCACCTCCAGGGATGGTGACTCACCTCCCTGGGCAGCCCTTTCCAGCACCCAGCTATTGAGCCCTTCCTTGTAGGATGATCTGTGTCTCAGGATGTGTTGTGGGTGGAGTTCTTTCTTCATCTGTACAGTGTGGTGAAAAGGTGTGTGTAGCACCAGCACTTTCTTGTGAGGAATGGCTGAACCAAAGCCCAATTGTAACACCAAATAAGCATTAAGCATCTGTAGCTGCTGTGTGTAATCCTGCACAAACATTTTTAGGGTGCTTGAGGTCATGTCACGGTGTTTTCTTGTTGCTTGAAGATGAAAGGTAGGAAACTAATTTTCTTAAAAGTTGCACAGTGGAAGTTGCTGGATGTGTCTTATCTTGCATTTTGTATTTCTTGTATTTTGTATTTCTTTATAGTCCAGATCATTTGCTTTAAAAAAACTGTGCTGGTATTTCCAACCTGCTAAAATATTTGTTTCTGACAGCAAAGGGAAATGGAATCTCTGTGCTGTGGTGATCATCTTGGATTAAAAATAATGCCATCCCAGTTGGCTGATAGCTTCAGGTTTTGAAACTCATGTGGCACAACAAAATGACAAATGCAGCATTCAGCTGAAGTCAGCCCTTCCAGTTGTTTTCATCTTTTGAAGATGGCAATTGTGGACAATCTTTTATTGTGGGGAAGCATTGCTGGTAATTCTCAGAGTTCCTCTTGTTTATCAGGTTTTTTAAGCTCTTGTACTTTCTGTTGGAGAGTCTAAAATCTAGAAGGTGATTTAATTTGCAGGAAACTCCTCCCATTATTCAGTGTGAATGTCTTCAGAACATTTGCTTGATATCTGCATTTTGTGGTTTGTATTTAAAACTCTGTGAGGCTACAAGCAGCACATACAGCTTAGGACACTGACCATGTATGCTGACAGATCAGCAGCAGTCAGGAAACCATTGTGTGGTGTGTTTGTGCAGTTAGGCTTCTTGGAGTCAGGAGCATGCCTGGAATGCACAGTGGAATAGAGAGGTAGTAGGTGTATGATGCAGTATGTACACCAACACACAAATAATGGGAAAACTACATTTAATGCTGGTAATCATGGTTGAGGTAGTGTGTGTGATTTCTTTGGCAGTACATACGGCTGCTGCCTTGCATATGCACTAGTACACGTGTCTTTTTTTTTCACTCACGTGGAAGAACGCACGTTACAGTCTGCAGTAGCACAACAGTAGGTGTGCATTGCAAATGTCTTTAACTTTCTGCTGAAGAAAGGTGAAGTATCAGCATCTGCCATAGCTAAACAAACTGCCATGTCTTAATTTGAAAATGAAAACTTGAACTAAAAAGTATCTTCTGTTAAAGCTAATAGTAAAATAGGAGATATCCAAAATGGATTACCAGTTCCCAAAGACATAATGTAACAATGTGAAAAGAATACATGGCTGAGTGGTTGTGGTGGGCTCTGTGTTTAAACAGGGACGTTACAAAGCAACACCTGAAAGCACTTTAAAGTATGCTGTGGCTTTACTTGACAAGAATTTTTTAAAAGAGTGGAAAGGATGATCCAGGGAACTACCAGTGTGCCAGCTTCACCTCTGTGCAAGGGAAGTTCATGGAGCAGATCCTCCTGGCATCTGTGCTAAGGTACATGGGAGTAGGAAGCGATACAGGATAACCAGCATGGCTACAGCGAGGTCAGGACCTTTTTATGTTGGTGTAACTGCATCAGTGGACAGGGAAGAGTCACTGATGTCATCTGTCTGGACTTCAGTAAGGCCTGTGACACAGTACCCCACAGCGTCCTTCTCTCCACATGGGAAAGATATGGATTTAATGGGTGGATTGTTTGATGAATGAGGAACTGGTCGTGAGACCCTTCTCTGAGAGTGGTCAGTGGCTCAATGTCCGGATGGACAAGCTGAGTCCCTCTAGTCCCTCTAGCACTGGGACTAGTGCTTCTTTAACATCCTCATCAATGACATCAACATTGGGTCTGAGTGCACCCTCAGCAAATTTGTGGATGACACCAAGCTGTGTGGTGTGGTCAACATGCCCAAGGGGCAAGATGTCATGTAGTGGGACCAGGACTGGCTTGAGCAGTGAGCCCAGATCAACCCCGTAAAGTTCAACAAATTGAAGTGCGAGGTCTTGCCCCTGGGACATGGCAACCCCCACTGTCAGTGTATTCCCCACACCTGGAGGATGTAAGGATGGTACGCAGCCCTACTAGAAAGGACCTGAGGGTACTGGTGGATGGCAAGCTGGACATGGACAAACGATGTGCCCTCACAGCCCAGAAAGCCAGCTGTATCCTCCTCAGCATGGCCAGCGGGTTGAGGGAGGTGATCCTGCCCCTCTGCTCTGTGCTGGTGAGGCCTCACCTGGAGTACTGCACCCAGATGTGGAGTCCTCAGTACAGCAGAGACATAGACCTGTTGGAGTGTGTCCAGAGGAGGGCCACAAAAATGATCCAAGGCATGGAACACCTCCCATATGAGGACAGACTGAGAGAGCTGGGGCTGTTCAGCCTGGAGAGCACCTGAGAGCGGCCTCTTAGTGTTTAAAGGAGGCTGTAAGAAAGAAGACAGACTCTTGGAGGGTCTGTGGTGATAGGACAAGGGGAAATGGTTTCAAACTAAAAGAAGAAAGATTTAGTTTGGGTATAAGGAGAAAGTTTTCATGGTAAGAGTGATGAGGCACTAGAGCAAGTTGGAGGTGGTGGTGTCCTTGGAGACATTCAGGGTCAGGCTGGATGGGGTTCTGAGCAACCTGATGTAGCTGTAGATGTCCCTGTTCATTGCAGGGAAGTTGGATTAGATAACCTTTAAGGGTCCCTTCCAACTCAAAATGATTCTATGATTCTACTAATACCTCTGGTTTCAAGACAGTAATGGCCTTAAGAATGAACAAGTAATGTGACACGTACAGAGGCAGAAGAAAGAGTCTTAACTGGCAAGTCTTATGCTAAAAGCTGAAATGCAGTGAATGCCTGTTCCACTGAGAAGTGTATGAGGAGAAGAAGCAGGAACACACTGGTGTTGCACAAGTGTGGAAGTCTGCTGCTCTTGCTCCTTTGCAGGCATGAATGTGTTGTCTGGAGATATCAGGCTGGTGTTTTCTCATTGCTTCAAAAACACAGTAGTACGAATGTTTTAAATAAAGGGAACTCTCATACCTCGTTGGATAGAACTATGAAATTATGTTGTCTGTCTCTGAAGGAACCCATTGCACTGTTAGAATATGTATGAAAACTGGAGAGTTGTTTGTATGTTTAATAGAAATCATTTGTTTTCTTCCAGTTGTGTCTCATATTAACGCTGTGTTCTGCTTTTTGGGTGAGTACTTGAGTCCTGTATGTATATATATATATACTGGAGTATATTTAAAAAATGAGAATCTTGCATGGTTGTCTTACTGGCTGCTGTGTTTCCTTCCCTTCTTCCTGCCCTTCTCCCTCAGTGGCATAAGGAAGGACTCGCGCTCCTTTTCTGTATCTTGCAGTTTTTTGCCTTGGCATGGTAAGTGATCTCCCTTATGCATGCCCCTCACTTGGCATTAGGTGTAACAGAAAGTAAAGAGGTGGATTTGAGCTTGTATGTATGAAAGGGTAGGAAGATTTTGTACCCTACTGTTCCCCTGGATGCAAGATAGTGCACCTATGAAGAGGTGACATATGGCTGCTCTTTGTTCTGTCCTTCCACTTCTGGAGGTTCCTTCTGAATGCATTTAATTTCTGTGAGCTTAAGTAAAACTTCTTTTTCTTTTGTCTTTTAATCAATTTGATGCTTACTTCGCTTAGTATTCTGCTTTTAGAGACTCTGTACTTGTTAGGTCAGATGATCCAGATGTGCCAATCAAGTTAAGCATCAGTTTTTTTTAAGTTACCATATTCTCTGTAAAAAGCCATTGAATTAGTACAGGAGCGGGTAGGGAGCTTTACCCAGCCCTCAAAAGCAGTCTTATCTCCCTGTAGGTGTTGGAACACCAGGGCAGCTTGGGGCTGCTTGGAACACTGTTTCACATGCCTCTGCAGTGTGCCCTCTGATTTTGCCATTTCTCACTGTGGCTGAGCTAAGGTTACTTGCAAGAATGTTCCTTCCTTTTCCTCACAACATCAGGGCTTCACTTTGGTTGTGTATCTTGCAGCCCTCTGTTTAGAGCAACACAGTTATGCTTTTTGTGACTCCATCATAAGCTGACGAGTAACCTTTACAATGTTCCATCTTAGGTACAGCATTTCCTTCATACCATTTGCAAGGTAAGTTTCTCTGCTCCCATTCCTTTTGTCATCTTGAAGCTTCATGGTAGCCAAGATTACTATGTGGGAGCATTGTGATGTGTGGATTTAAGCTTTTCTACGGCAGTGTTTTAGGAGGAGGAAATACTCGTGATTGCTTAAAAATGGGACTAAGCATATTCTCTGGTGGGGAAACACGACTTAAGTGTAACAAAATGAGAGGGCTTCCTGTGAAAATATAGAAGTGTGCAGCCCATATGCTAAATTTAACGTTTGCCTTGAGAATGCCCAAATGCTGGTCCAAAATACTACTGGGTAAATGTATTCTTTTGTGTACTATTTTTTTTTTCCTTCCTTCACTGTTCCCCCTGCTGTGAGCACTGTTACAGCATTTGAGCACAGTTTATGCTGCTTTATCAGCTCTGCTCTTCCTATGGGTGCTATTACCATTGCAGCTGAGTGGGTAGGGGTTGAGCAGACCTGCTTGCCTGTAATGCAGTCATGCAAGCCATGTAAGCACAATTAACAATCTCTAAATGTGTGTTGGTGGTGCTGCACCAGTGTGTAGTGAGTCATCCAGCAGCTAACTGAGGTGACTGTTTTTTTCTTTCTCCTGCCCATAGGGATGCTGTGAAGAAATGTGTGTCTGTCTGTCTGTCCTAAGAGGAAAGCCGGATGCTTCACAAAGTTCTAGGAAGCATAGCAGAACTACGTTAAGATCACTGTGTTTGTACTTTGCTACTTCTGTTCTAAATGAGTGCCTTTTGGCTGGTTGTTAGAGGTTAAGTGCAGTGAATGCAATTGTGTGTTTTTGGTGTCCGTGGGACAGAGCGCTCACGTGACTAAATGAAGGTCAGCCTGGAAGAAGAACTGGGCTGAGACCCAGACTTTGTTTTGATGATTCTCATATGAAATTATTTGTTTCTGCAAAATTAACAAAGTGACACGTGAAGTCTGTAAAATGGAGCCCTTGATTCTGGTGGGACCATGCCAGTCTAGAGGATTCCTTTCCGAAGAAGAAAAAGAAATCTGTTGCTAGCTGATTCCTGACAACTCTTGTAGTAGCCTTACATCACTTAATCTTTGCACTATTTACATCAGATAATGGAATACTGGTGCTCTTCTTCTGCCTCTCTTGTAACATGTTGGGTCTATGATATTTTCAAAAGGCTTAATTCCAAATGAAAAGGCTGTTTTAGAGTACTTATGGAATGCTTGATTTTGTTTCCTTAAGTGAAAAAAATTCGTTTTCAGTTTAGATTGACAGTGTTTTCTTAAAATACGTAGAGGGGACATTTTCATCTGCGAAGATTGGTTCCTGTAAGAAAAGCACTTGCAAAATTGGGTTAATCAAGTTCTTTAGTTTCCAGGAATAATGAGTTCTTTGCTAATGACTCCAGCTGAATGCAATACATTCAAGCTAGGAAACCAATTTATCACTTGACATGAGGTGGTTCTCTTCTCCCCAGCTTCAGCACAGGAGCTGTGTGAAGCTGAGGGCACGACAGGTAAGCTGAGACAGAACCTGTGTGTTTTCTTTCCCAAAGGACGAAGTCCCTGTTGATAAGGTGGAGGCAGGCTGGTGTTTAAGCAAGTCCAGGACAGGAAAAAGACATTTTCTTCTGAACCTGTGAATAAGTTAAAACTCCAATGTGTCTTTTTTGTAATGAAATCAATTTCATTTTTCCTAAAACTCTCTTCTGCACTCGTGAATTCCTTCTGCTCTGAAGAGGAAGTACAGCTTTCTGTTGCTTTTTTTGTGTGTTTGTGTGTTTGCTTTTTTAACCAAAGGAAGCATTCAACAGTCTTGCTGCCAGCTTCGAACAAACACTGAGTGGTCAGTATCCAGACTCCAAGGCCATTGCCCATTCTTGTAATCTTCTGAGCTACGTGTAATCATGTACTCCCAAACCATTTCAGCGTCTCTTGTTTAACATCAGAATGCAGGTTCCTGCTTCTACTATGTTGGATACTGTTAACTGTTCTTGCCTTTCCTATTAGCAAGTTGTCTTGCTGGAAATGATGGCTGTGAAGGTCATTATCCAGTGAACTTTAATATGATTTGAATCTTCTTTCCTGATCTACATAGACTTTAGCCATCTAACTGCATTGCATTTGCATAGCAAGTCCTTGACTTGCACCACAAAGACTTCAGGCTAGCAAAAGCCTGGATCTATTCAGCAATGAAGTACAAGCCCACAGTGAAGTAGAATAATTCTGTGTGGTTCTCAGAAAGTTACTAGAAACAGAATTAACTCTACACATTAATTGTCCTTCTGATAATTTATAAAACAGTAACAACCCTCCATGAGTATCCCCTCTAAAACCAAAAAAATATCTTTTGAGGATATGAAAGGGGAACTTCAACAAGCTTTCTCTGTTTTCCAGCTGGATAGAGGTACTCTTACAAAGCCATTTGAACAGAAAAGGCCTTCTTGAAAATGTGCTATGTTGGGATGAATCAGTTCTGTGGGATGATTTCCCCAAGTGCTATTTCCTACTGCTTTTCTTTCTTTCTTTCCATAGGATTTTGAAGTTAGTGTTGAAATGACTACATTGACTATTAGTATTATTTTTTTTTAATAAGGAGTTAGTTAAAGGCTCAAGAGAGACTGAGAATTAAAGAACACCTATTCGTTTTCTCTCTGACTCTGGATATCTAAATGGATGTAAGACTTTTTTTTTAATGAGGGAGTATGTTCAAAACCTAATGTACATCTGTCAAAGGGCCCCGTGTTAGGCTTCTGTTAGGGCTTGGAGAATATATACAGAATTCCTTTGTGTAAGACTAGTAGAAATAGAACTCCAATGCCTTTCACATCCCAGTGTTTGCTTAGTTTTAATATCTCTGGGTGTTCCCAGAGAACTCTACAAGTATGGTCTATGGTATTTTTCCTTCCCCCCTCTGGGAAAGTTCTGTTAATTTGTATAATCATTCCAGGCCTATCAGCAGTCAACATAATGGAGTTTTACCTCTGTTTTGTTTGTTTTTTTTTTTAATAGTTCAGATTAGGAAGAGAAAAAGGCTTTTGCTTACTCCTTGACTAGCTTTTGCAGGGCTGTAGTACCATGACTCTCTAGCATTTTCCTTGTAAAAACACTAGATTTGCTGCATACTGCTTTCTCAATTTGTATACTATAGCTAAGTGGGACCTTTTAGTATTGTGAGCACAGTCACTTGGAAGTAGGAAATTTAGACTCTGGAACTGCTTCTTTCACTACCAAGAAATGGTAAACTTGAATGGATTCACACACACTTTTTTAAAGCTGTAATTCCAGTTCCACAGCCACGTTTGATACAATAATAAAGGAGAACAAAGGTTTATTTGACTGTGTAGCACACGAGGCTTTAGCAATAGTGCCCATAAGGGAAGGGAATTCAAAAGGAGATGGCAGAGATGGGTGATCGCCATAGTGCCACTAGGATTCACGTTCCTTCTGGTGTTGTATTCTGTTCTTGTGAAGGTCAGATGGAACAGAGATTCATTTCCTTGCCAATATGTGAAAGCTACTCAGGGTTTGTCACTTCATCTACAAGCAGTTTTGATTTAAAGGTAATTCCTCTCTGTCAGAGCAAAACACTGTGGATTCTTAGTCAGATGTTTGGTTATAGTTGCGCACAGGCTATTGCCAGGGTTAGCAGTAGAAGATTCTTCTATATTGTTCAGATAATTTCTGTGATCGAGAGGTAAACTACTATGAGTGTGCCCTCTTGACCGGTTTCAATCTGAATTAGGTTATACCATTTTTGTGATTAAGACTTCTATATGTTTGGAGCTGATTTCATCAGCTTTGGTTATCTGCTTACCAGGAAGCATGGTGGACTTTTTTAAAGCCCTCTAGCTTTCTGTCGTAATGTCCTTCAAGGCAGGAATGTTTGTCGTGTGCACTCTGCTGCAAAGAGATAATTGTGTTTTAAATCATAAGGCTCCTTCCTTAATAAACTTACACACTTGCCTACAGCACTTAATTCAAGACTGACTTTCGAAAGAAAGTTGGATGCCCATCTCAGTAGAGTTTGGTGCTCTACCAGAAAGTGTTTCTTGAAAGCCTCACTGTTGGTCAACTTTCCCGTTGAATTTTGGGTTGTTTTGGTTTGTTTGGTTTTGTTTGTTTGTTTGTTGTTTTGGGTTTTTTTTCAGTACTGATCACTGTAAGCAAGCAGTCTTAGCGTGAAATCTGCATATCTGGGATCAGCCGACTTTGCAGATACTGTAGAAATGGAAATGGGTGACAAGGGGTATTTGTTCCCATAGCACTGAGATTCAGAACATGAAAATGTGAGATTTCTTTCATCACTCCAGGGTTTTGCTCTGGTTGGTGTGATTGTGAATGCTGATGCTATCTGAGATGGTTCTACTGTGCTGATGTGAACAACTTGATCTTGCTTAGTATTTGCTGTAGTAAGACTGCCCATGAGCTGCTCCAAAACCCAAGGAAGAAATCTCTGAACTGATTTAAAAGGATTTTAAGAAATCACGTGGAGAAAAAATTAGAATTCATAAGGCTTTGTTTAAATACTTACTATGCATTGCTGGGAGAGAGAGGAGTTGTTGCTATGGGATGGCTTCCAGCAAGGTTGCAGAAGGACGGGTCTGGATTGGTTGCAACTTGTGGGTAGGTGACAGCTGTGCCCGTAACGCACTTAGGGGCTTAGAGTGCTGCTGCTTACATGCAGTCTGAAGCTCGTGTTCAGGAAACTCCATTGTGGAAAAATGCGGATTCTTGAAGGTTGTAGGCTTGTGCTGTGTACTAAGATTGAAAGAGATTTGTTGAGTTAGTGAAAATGGTTCTTACTCTGTTTTGGTACTTAATCATGTTGATGAAGACAAGATGACCGTTGCTGTTGTGGACTTCAAAAACCGAGGAGGAGGATGACATATAAACACACATCTGTCTTAACTATTGATGTTTACAGCCATAGCAAGTCCTGACCATGTAGGACAGAAAGCACAAAGATGGTATATTTTCTTAACAGTGTGTGCCTCACAGTCTTTTGACAACACAACATTTTTTTAACAGCTGTGGGAATTGTTTTGTAAAATAAAAACTGAACTCTCAGAATTTGACCACAACGTTTTGTATTGTTACTGATTCTATTTGTTGCTCTTTTTCTGTGTATTTGCACTGTTTGATTTCTACTTTGATAAATATCTTTTTTCATATCTTTTTCTGTAAGGAATCCCTCACTTTCGAGTGTTGTTTTTTTCTTCAATAAAGTTGTAATTGCATTAAACAAATTGCTTTTGCAGTTAATTTGGACGTTTTAATGATGACTCCAGATGATGCTCAAATTGCTGATGAGGTGGGGGTGATACGATTATTTTTTTTAACCTCAAGTGTCAACATAATTTTGCCAACAAATTATTGATTTAGTCTGTGCTACAGAGCAAATTACTCCTCATTCCATTCTGTCAGCAAAAATTATTAGTCGTGTCTCTTTCTTTGTGAAATACGTGCATTCTGAGTACTGCAAGTAAAAAAAAAACAAATCAGTGATTTAAAAATGCACATGTCAGAAGTAGGGCTAGAAGCAATGACTCAGAAAGCATATCTGTTTCAGTTGGCGTGTAACATGCATCCAAAAACTTGCTGTGATTTTAATTTTCCTTACCTATGTGGTGGGCACCAGCCTGCTTCCAGTGTCTTAATTTTTTCCTTCTGAGTGGTAGGGCAAACCCAAATGGCTGCCATTTATTTATTTTAATTGCAAGGGTGGTTGCAACCCTTGAGCGTTTTGAGAGATGTTGTGCTTTCAGTTTTGGTCTTCTAAGAAAACTGTCTCAAAGCTGAATGCACTGAAATTTCTTCACAGGAAGGTCCAATTTTTTTATTTTTATTTTTAATAGAAGAGACCTGTCTTACTGTAACACAGGAACCTGGTGGTTCGTATTTTATCTTTTTGAAAAGAACTCAGAGGAACCCGGGGAGTTTCATATAACTTTCTTATCAAGACAGCTATGAGTATGAATCTAAACCTACACATGCAATAGATTCTTTCTATAAATGTTCAGTCCCTTGTTTTCTCTGCTTCGTTCAAGCTGCATAATGTGGAGCTGTTGGAGCGGGTCCAGAGGAGGGCTGTGAAGATGATCAGAAGGCTGGAGGACCTCCACTATGGGAATAGGCTGGGAGAGTTTCAGCCTGGAAAAGAGAAGGCCCCAGGGGGACCTTGTAGCAGCCTTCCAGTACCTGAAGGGAGCCTACAGGAAAGTTGAGGAGGACTTGTTAGAAGAGCATGTAGTGACAGGAAGAGAGGAAATTGTTTTAAATTGGAAGAGGGCAGATTCAGACTAGATATCAGGAGGAAATTCTTTACTGTGAGGGTGGTTGCCCAGAGAGGCTGTGGATGCCCCCACCCTGGGAGCAAATCCGTGCAAATCCATGGTGGATTTGTATTTAGTAATGGGACTATGGAAGGCTGCTACATACCTAATGTCTACCCTTTCCCCTTCTCCCTCCACAAGGTCTGATTTATGAGATAATTTTATGGATGCGTGTAGCTGGAATTTTTTCCCTTTGTTTACTTGTTTATTTCACATTGAGCTCAGGCTTGATTGCAGTATCTTAAGGATAAAAGATTCTTAACGTCCATCCATACTGAACTGTGGAAACTCCTGAAGGGAACAAAAACCTGTTTTCTCTTTTTTTCTGAAGAAAGCTTCAGATGATTAGAGAGATGGAATAGAATATCTAAGCTGCCAATCTTTGGGATTGCTATTTTAAGTTAGCCTATTTGAAACCCTTTTAAGTTTTTCTCAGGTTCCCATGTGGCATCTCTAGAAGAGGTTATTCCTGAGAGTTTGTGATGCACAATCTGCAGAAATGAGGAGTAACACTGATGTAGCTAAATAATGGTATGTTAGAAGTATAGGCTGGCCAACACGATTTCAGTGCAGCTCTGAATGGATAGCACTTCCAAATATGTGGAGTGAAAACAAATTATTTTGTCGTATTTGCTCTTGTGTTTTCTATTTGTGCGTAATAGGATGTAGAAGTCTTGTTTCTTTTGAGAGAAGCAAGTATTTCAGCCATGTATGATTATTATTAGAATCACAGAACATCCCGAGCTGGAAGGGACCCATGAGGATCATTAATTCCAGCTCCTGGCTCCACACCCAAACTCCAAGCCTTATATCCGGGAGCGGTGTCCAAACACTCCTTGAACTCTCACAGCTCAGTGCCGTGCCCACAGCCCTGGGCAGGCTGTTCCATGCCCACGGCCCCCAGTGCAGACCCTGTCCCTCACCCCCAGCTGCCTTTCCCCTGACACAGCTCCGTGCTGTTCCCTCAGGCCCTGTTGCTGTCACATCTCCCAGATCCTTCACCGTCCTCATAGTCTCCCTTTGCACTCTTTCTAATGGTTCTATGTCCTTCTCATCTTGTGGTGCCCAAAACTGCACGCGTTACTTTTTTTTGTAATACATTTATGTTTATCACCAGCCTGACTAGATCAGGAATTTTTTTTTTTTTTAAGAAACAAGAAAAATTGCTCTGAAAAGCTTCCCATGCTTTCTGAGCTGATGTTGGTTGTAACAGCAGGCAGGGAGGTGCTACTTGAGCAGGGTGACTGAATAACTGCTAAAAACATACCTGGCTGAAGTTATTGAAACTGTCCTCTCCACCACCCCGGCAGTAATGAAAAGGCTAATCTTCTCTAAGTCTCTTATAACCCATCAATCTCTTAAGGGTCTGGATCTGTGATTAAAAACAGAGGGAAAGCAGCTGTCTTTTTATCCTCTCGTAATTATTCCTTGGTCGTCAATAGGTGTTGATTTCCTGGGAGTGTCATGGTGATAGAGGTTACGTTTCCCTGTGTTGTTGGGACTCAATGTTCAGGGGTGTTGGTTGTTTGAGTGCTCCACTGAGAGTCCTGGGGATGGAAAGCTTGAGTCTTGTTGTCTGTGATTTCACTGCATCATGAAGGTTTGGCTTATTTTGGAAACGTGCACCTAAAGGCCAAAAAACAGCTATCCAGTGTCAAGGCAAGGAGAGGCCTCTTTAATTACCTTTTCTCTATTTTTTTTCTTCTGCTGTACCTCACCAGCTGGTGGTAGGAATGGGTTTTAAAATGATTTTAATTAGAAAGTCAAAACCAGCAACTTGCTTTTTACCGCTGAAATTTGATGAATATATTTCAGTAAGCGTTTCAGGTTTGTTCTGTCATTGCTGTTTCCAGACCTTGTTGCTGCAATTAAAAGTATGAGTAGCTAAATTCTTATTGGTAAATCCTGGACACGACTAGAGATGTCTCTAAGTGTTGTACTTGCACTTTTGACTAGAAGGGGTTAGTTCTGGGAGGCTGTGAGCCACAAGGTGGCCGCTTCCTGGTCAGTAGCACCTCGCTCTCTCCATGGGGCTCCAGAGGAAGTTTTCAATGTCTTCCTACTTCCTGAGACATCCATACCCATCTACTTGTTTAATTGCACAGCTACAGATGTCAAGTGCAAGAGGACTAATTCATGCTGTGTCCTACTTTCAGTGGCAATGACTATCGGTCACCTTGTTACTTTATTACTTGGTAAGTGCAGTTACTTTTTCCTTCAAATATCAAGTACAGGAAGACTTTCAGCTAAGAAAGAACCCATCTGATACCTGAGAATGGGTTATTTTTAGTGTCCCAGGAGTACCCAGTGATGCTAATCCATTTGTGTCTCATTTTCAGCATCTGCAGACTTGGAAAAATTTGTCTCTCAAGAAGGGAGGAGGGAGAAGAAATGTTTAGGAAGTATTCAAGTTTGTTATTTAGGTGAACAAAGGAGGCGTTTAAAATGTAAAGGATGTCTCCCCCAAAACAGAGCAGTTATTTGTAATGAAGATTTCCACCCTTAGTATTTTCTGGAAATTAAAAGTCAACAATAAGCAATGAAGTCTATGAATCTATTGCTTTGGTTTCTCTCCTGTAGCCCCTCCTCACGCAACTGCCTGTATGTAAGGCAGACCAGTGTATGATGTGATGAAGACCAATGCATGAGGTGGGATTCATATGGATCTGGATGTGTATTTTTGAGTAAAATCTGTGCCATGGTTATATTAAGCTGATGACTTTTCTTGCATGCATGCAAATTTGTTATTTCTTTGGCTAATTCTGGGCTGTAAATACACATCAGTGGTGAGATGCGCCTTGTGAATATACTGCTACATGCATCACCAATTGCTCTTAGAGCCCGAACTCTTAAAGCTGAAATACCCTTCCCCATGCTCAAAACCAGCAATTGGCCTATGCCATGAGCCAACCACAGGTAACTACTCTCTCTGGAAAATACTGAGGTTGCATGTATCTTGAGCTACAGTAACAAAGTTATAAATTTAAAATTAAAACTGTGTGAAAATGAAGTATTTTAAGAGAGATTTTTCTTTCTTTCTTTCTGTGAGAAAATTTTTGATGACCAAGCATCTTAAGTGGTAAGTGAAAGCAACCAAGTGTACCTTACTTTTGGTATCTCAGAGTGCATTTCATTGTTGTGGAGGATGCAAGTTTTAATATTTGAAACTACAAAGAAAATGCCCTTGTGCCTCTCCTGCAGGCACAAAAAAAAAAAAAAAAAAAAAAAAAAAACCTGTAAAAATCCAGTCATTGATTAAAAATTAACCCCAAAACTTCCTAGTGCACAATATTTCATGTAGCTCTGATTCCCGCCTTTATTAACATTTTGTAATGTCGTGAAAGCAACACAACTATTTCATGATCTCTTAAGTGTTTGCTATGCCATTTGATCTTGTGTGGCATGTGCAGGGAAAAATGATAGAGCTTCTCTCTCCTTTTTGAGCATCTGAAAAAGAAAGCCCAAGCACTAATGAGTGTTTGTAATTCAGTGTTACACGATGTTACCTGATAAGCAATTATTTTTCCAGATGCCAAGTGGCACACTTCAAAGTACCTAAATATCCTGTAGATTTTAATGTACATTCTTCATTTGCTCAGCAGTGAAAGGAGGCTGGTTAGTAACTAGGAGTTGCTATTTGCTTAGGCCTGGTACAGACAGACACCTTTCACAAGGTGAGTTGACTGATAATCTAGTTAAAATGTTATGAGCTGACAATTCAAACAAGGTATGTAAAGACTGGGAAGATGAAAGAAGGAAGATGTGTCAGAGTGCAAAGTTCCCTGTTGGGATGATTGGGATTATAGATGCAAAAAATGCGTCACAGCTGCATGACTTTCCCTTCCTGTGGTGTTGAGATTCTGGGCAGTGAGTGCTCACCTAAACTCTCCTTTGTTCTGCACAACATCGTGTTGCTGCACACGTGCAGCTGTGCTGTTTTGAGGACTTGGAATCAGTATCCTCACTCTGGCTCAGTGTTGAGGGAGTAGCAGGACTACTTTCCAAAAAAGGTGCTGTATGACACAGATAGTACCCTCAAACTCTGGCAGTTGCTGGTGAGGGAGATGATACCTCGTGGGCTTTTGCACTGCGAGATAAGTTGAACCTTGTTAAAGGATGGATTTAATTTAAATCATGTTTTATAGTTTGTCAGACCCTTCCTTGTCTGTATAAGTGTCATCAGTGATGCACTGTAGAGCCCCAAACCAAATCATTTCATTGCTTAGAAAGCTGGAAGCACAGAAATTCAACAAGGGCTCTTGAGTTAAGCAAACACAAAGTTCTAAGTAAGTAGGTAGAAAACATATTTCTCTAAAAAGAAATGCCCAAAGTTCATTTTCATAGCCAAGTCCCTGACTATGTCATGTCTAACAGACCAGAAATTTCCCAGATGCTATTGGAGCTAAATGCATCCGGAGGAATTAGGCAGTCAAGTGCCTTATGTGCTGAAGTCCAATGTTTACGGATCAGTGGTATTCACATAACCTTCACTTAACTCTGTAGCACAGCACTGGACCCAGTTTTCTCAGATCCCTGTCTCATTGCTGAAGTTGATGGATTTGTTGGTATAATAGTGGTTTCTTTTACAACTGTCCTTTGTGGAAAGTATACGCAGTTCAAAGAGACTTGCCAGATAAGGCCTCAGGCTGAGAGGAGAGGGAATGCCGGTTTTAGGAATGATGAGGGAGCTTTTGGATGAAGCAGACCTTGAGTAGGTCAGCAGTGCCAGGCCTCAAGACAGTTATGTCTATACCCAGACTCAGAAGTGTGAGATCTGTCCCTAGAAATGCATCAGAAGGAAGTTAAAGTACTTTAAGGTGCCACAGACATTCTGTGAATGAAACTGGGGTCCAACGGATGGACAGAGCAGGAATCAACAGTGGAGTGTAAGGATGCTACTTTTTCCTTTTGCAATCTAACATGTTAATTTAGGAACTTGGAGATTGTTGAGTAATGAAGTTAATGCGTTTATTCAACATGCTGGGTGAAAATAAGGCTATCCTCTTCTATCTTTAAGACTGTCTTCTCTGTTTAACTGTCTTGACTGTTACTAGCTCCTTCAGCTAGAGTCCGCATCAGCGAGAATGCAATTTCCATGCATTGTTTCAGTCTGGAAATGAAATAATTTTCATTAATGGAAACCTGGTTCTCAAGCAGAACAATTAGACCCACTTCAGGTTGAAAAAAGATAAAAGCATGCTAATTTGGATGGAGGACTCTTCTTTCAAGGCAGCCAATTGAGTCATCAGCCTGCCACCCACCTGACCGTCTGACAGGTAATTAGGAGATAGTCCTTTTTTGTGTGTGGAGTGTGTGCATAAACCTGCACGCGCCGGTGTCACTGCCCATTGGGACTTCCAGAGGAACGAGCTAGTCAGTGGCAAAAGAGTGAGGAGGGCACGTTTCTCAGGCTGTGCCCAACGATCTGACTTGCTTTTTGATTTAGCTTCCTATTTCTGTCTTTTAACAGCCACCCCAAGTTTCTGGCAGTAAAGTCATTATGGCAGACCTGGGTTGCAAAAAGCCCACTGACTGCACCGTCTCCAGGCTGCTCAGCGTCGTGGAGAGTGAACTCCGGGCAGGCAGAGACAAAGGTGACCCCACTGAGAAGCAGCTTCAGGTTGTCTTAGAGGATGCTACCCTCTGGCAGAGATTCAGAGAAGTCACCAACGAGATGATTGTGACCAAGAATGGCAGGTGAGTGATCTGCATAGCACTGTGTGCTAAGGGTGGGTGACAGCCGGGGGGTGTGAAGAGGTGTAATAGAAAGTAGCGTGTGCATAGGCTAGAGAGAACTGCAGTGAGCATGTAGCAGTGTGGTCCCCTAAAAGCAGGGTAGGGACAGAATTGGGGTGTCCCCGCTCCTTTCTGTGAAGCCATTCCTGCCACACTTTATTCCTGTTTGTGAAACATGCTGGAGAAATGTATTGACAAAAAGGGAACTTTCACCGAGGTGTGGACACTATCTCTCAAAATCTTCTGGATTGCTTCTTGTGCTACCAGTCATTAATGTTTATTACCACATTCCTACCTGTAGATCTCAAAGGACTGTTCAGAAGCAGATCAGTGCTGTTATCTCCCCGTTGCTGTTCTTGTTTCTCAGGCTTTGGAGGTTAACAGTCTGCACATACAATCTGTACTAGAAAAGGGTACAATCCAGCTGTGCTCTGTGGCTTGTATGTGCGGTCCAGATCGGTGTGGTCCCACAACTGTACCTCACATTTCTGTAGTTGTTGCTGGTGTACTTAGTAAGCACCGTAGAATACTGGCTGACATACAGAGCTTTAAAAAAATAACAAATTGTGATATAAGGGGATCACATATCTTTCTATTTGCTGAGTGCAAAACCCGGAGAAAAGAATGTTAATTCTGAATTGGATACTGGCTCTCCAGATAGGCTCTGCACTGATCTGGGAAGGCAACAGAGTCCAGGTAATGACTAGAGGAAAGTTTTCCTGTACAGCAGTACTAAGGTTTACAGTAGTACTTACTCTACCCTTGCCACCTCTGCCATCTTCTCCCACCCCTCCCTCCACGCATGTTTCTTTCACAAGGAATATCTGCATGGGAGAGCAAGATTAAGAGATGAGAGAAAAGCTTTTCGCTCATGGTGTGAGTTCCATCAGTTTTGCAGAGATTTTGGTTGAAAAGAACTTATGGAAAAGATTACTATTGCCTGCAGCCTGACAGGGAAAGCAATTAAGAGGGGAAAAATCTTGTCTGCTAGCTCAGCAAGCTAGCTCTTCTACTAAGAGAACAGTTCTGCTTCCAAAATATCACTGCTTATCACTACTCTGATTCCTAGGAATCTATAAGGATCGATGTTGTCTTCTGTTCTTCTTCTTTACACCAAGAAGCTGCTTCTATTTAATTTGAACGTTTATAGTTGCTGTTGGGCTAAAGCAAACTTCTGAGTGGATTTTCATTTAATGTAAGGTAGATTTAAACATTCCTTGTCAGCATAAGTAACCAAGATGAGAATAAATTTGCACCAAATTAATTAAATGGATACAAAGGATTGTGCCTTACCAGCAGGTTGTGGGTTATTTTTTTTTTCTTTCAGTTTCTTTCCTCAGTGCTAATGTATGTTGTGATTGCAGGTGATACTCTTTCTCTCTAAAATGTCTAGGTGAGTGCATGTACATAATCTTTTTATGCTGCTGCTGGGATGAAAATCCATCATTACTTGAATATCCAATGTTACATTTTAATCGTGGAAGCTTATTTATTTTTCTTCATTCTTACTTAG